TATTTTATATTCAACTTCCATTCTGGTTAAAGAAGGGCAATTTGTTCCTCTTCAAAGATTTTTGAAGGTTTTCAAGATGGATTTTAAATATTTTGACTTTTAAATTATGCAGTTTTCCCCCCAAAACTTTAAAAGCCAGTTCAGGATCAGTTCTCACAGTTCCAGTGCCAAAGGAAGATTAGTAACAACTCACAAGGATGCCTACACCACCTGATAATGTGCACTTTGGGAAGTCAGGCATGACATACAATTTGAACACAAATACAGAAAACCTTTTACAAATAAAAAAAAAAGTTTTACAAAAATCACCTCTGTCCCACTCAAAATTACCCAAGTCAGAAGTTGTCCCTCTAGCCAGTGACTCTGTAGGAATAACTACAGAGTCTGCTTCATGATAAAGATCTTGCTTCCTAATTCAAAAGTCTGAACACCAAAGATAAAAGCTATCTCATTTTTACTTGCTTTTAAGAAACTGAAAATAATGTTTAAAAGTATATGGTAGAAAACTGACCTTATATAACATGTGCATAAATATTGATAGATAGATACAGGTATTGGAAGGCTGATCTTTGATTACCATGCAGCATTTTCTGTTGGGAAACATGGCTGATAACCCTGGGTGATAGTCCACTGTGGTTTGAAATTCTGCATCTACCCAGAACTGAGAAAGGGAAAAAATATTTTGCAGAAAATGTCCAAAGAAAAGAAAAAACTAGAAAAGCTTGCATACAAAGAACTCAGTCTCCTACATTGACTGGGTCCCTTGCTGGGTTCCAGATACAAGCACTCAGCACCTAGGATGTGCTGGTGAACAAGAGAGACACACCTGACCCATCAAAACTCAGACAAGAAGCGAGCAATCACAACAGGGTGTGGCAAGTCTCCTGGCGGGGCAGAGCTTCTCAGCCTGACTGCACAAGAGGTTCGTGTAAGGGCTAATTACACGTAAATCCCTGGGCACACAGCTCGACGCTTTGTGCTGGTGCAGATGCTGCACAGTGATGCGATGGGCCACGCTGGGGGTGGGACAGGATGCGCAGGAGCACATGTGCCCAGTGCCCAGACAGTGTCGGCTGCACCCGCCATGTGGGGCTCCACCCTCAGAACCTCTGAGTCTCAGGTCCAGGGCGGAGAGAGGCAGGAGTCTGCCTTTCTAGCAAGCACTCCTGACGTTCGTGCTGTAGGCCTGGGGACCACATTTGAGAGTTGCTGCAGTAGTAGCAGTTATTCTATCTCAGGGAGCTGATCTGGGTTTCTGGGAAGCAGTGAAATTTCAGGTCAACTTAAGGGACAAGGAAGTGTGTGCTGACACATGAGCATGAGAGTTGGTGTGCAGGGTGGACACGGAAAGCTGGCAGGAAATATGTCCCCGGGACAGAGAAGTGGAACAGGGTCTGGAAGCAGGTCTGGGGGCTGAACCAGTGTTCAGCATGACTGGGTTTGGCAGGGCCATGGGGTCAGCATAAGCTCCTTCCCAGAGTCCAGGGTATATTTTTTAAGAGTCATGAAGAAGCAGGGACAGAATGTGGTCAGATTTACGTTTTGAACTTGCTGTGATTATGTTTCTGGATGTGTGTTGAAGGTGGGCAAACTAGAGAAAGTCTCGCAAGGAGCAGTTGCAGTCTTGGAGTAAAAGAGATGTAACTACATGGGTGGTAGCAGTGGGGAGGGAGAGAAACTGATAGATTTCAGAGGCTTGTGGGGCAGACTAAAGAAATAGGACTTGGTGATTGATGAAAGCTGGAAGTGAAGGGGAGGAGACAGCAATGAAAGCTGGGTTGCATTTTGTTACTGGGGATTAGCAATATCTTTGCCAGAGTGGTCAGAGTGGGAAGTGGTGGAAGGGTTAGGAGTTTGGACACACTAATCTGGGTGCCTGGGAGACCCTTAAATGGAGAGGACGGGAAGCAGTCAGATGTCTGGTTGGCGATCAGGGGAAGGGCGTTACCAGCATAGAAACAACATCTGAGGACATAAGGACACCCAGGAGGACTCGAGAGGAACAGAAATAGGAGACACAGGTCACGGGTTTCACGGCCAAAGCCGACAGCCATACCCAATGTGAAATAAACAAACACTCTCTGCTCATGTGTGTCAGAAGGGACTGAGTAAATGAGTTACGAGAGAACTTCTGAGCAATCTGCATGTGGATGACATGAGAGCCGGCCTCTTGTTCTGTCTGGCCGAGGTGCCCTTCATCTCCTTCCCCTTCCTGTGGCTGGGGGACCCCAGGGGGAGCCCCGCAGGCTGCGGCAGCAGACCCGAGCAGGGTGACCACTGGGCGAGAAGAAGGCGTCGCCAGGACCCTGAGTCAGACTTCAGGCCAGATTCGGTCCAGCTGCAGGTCTGCTCTGGCTCGAGAGGAAGCACTCCATCCCTGAGGCCATGGGCTGGGGGCCATGAGGTGATGTAGGGAACGGGGCGTCTCTTTGCTCTCGCACATTCAGACAACTGCGGGGTTTGCAGCGTGCTTTTTGTTACCTGGCTTGAGCCAGTACTGGCAGCTGTAGAGGACATGGGCTTAAGCAAATTTTCTCTGAGGGGAGCAATGGGGAGAAAGGATAGTTAGGGAGTTTGGGAAGGTCATGTACACACTGCTACATTTAAAATGGATAACCAACAAGGTCTCACTGTATATCACAGGGAACTCTCTGCAGTGTTTTGTGGCAACCTGGGTGGGAGGGGAATTTAGGGGAGAATGGATACATGTATATGTATGGCTGAGTACCTTTTCTGTCCACCTGAAACTATCACAACATTGTTAATCATCTGTATATCCCCAATATAAAATGAAAAGGTAAAAGAAATGTCTGAAGCTTCCCAGGTGGTAGTGGTAGAGAGCGTGCCTTCCAATGCAGGAGACATAAGAGATACGGGCTCCATCTCCGCTCTGGGAAGATCTCCTGGAGAAGGAAGCGGCAACCCACTCCGATACTCTTGCTTGGAGAACCCCAGGAGCAGAGGAGCCTGGTGCGTATAGTCCGTGGGGTCACAAAGAGTCGGTCACAACTGAAGTGACTAAACACACCAAAAAAAGGTCTACTCTGAAGGAACTTAGTAGGGGTGTGATAGATATTTTAAAGTCTGGCATCTCTGAAACAATACAGCTCTAAACAACATGGTTGAATATAAATTATGTACCCATGAGTTAACACTGATGTACAGAATACCCCCAACCTGTCTTCTGACCCAGCATGCCCCTGCCGGCCCCCTGCCCTGCCGCTTCCCGGCTGCACACCGCCTCCCGGGGGCTCTGGGCCCGGCCCTTCCGCTCGCAGCCCTGCTCCGATGAGAACCAGCCCCAGGAGCGCAGGAACGGGACTCCGCCCCGCTCTGGTCCGGACAGAGAAACGCAGAGCAAAGAGACCGCTCCTTGGGAAGACTCTCCTCTTCCTCCTTCCTTCTCTGACTGCCTCTCAGCTCTCTCTCTTTCACTTCTTATTTTGAAGGAGGCTCAAACTCCCAGTGCCATCATCTGAACACCTTCTCCTTCCAAATGCACCCCTGGTTTTACATATGACACATGTATCTCCCCCTGGAGGAGGCTGGGGAGTCTCCCTCACTGTTTTCCCAGCTACGATTCAGGCTACCGGCTAAAGCCGGCACAGCCTGTTGAGAAACAGAACTGGGTCCCTTCAGAGGTGAAGATAAGCAAGTTCTTTCTGCTCCAGTTTTGAGTGGCCTATCCATTTAAAACGTTAGACTATGCTGCAATGATTTTAAAACATCTTTCTTCAGACTTGATACCACCCTTCACTATCAAACTTCAGTCAGTTCAGTTTAGTCGCTCAGTCGTGTCCGACTCTTTGTGACCCCATGAATTGCAGCACGCCAGGCTGCCCTGTCCATCACCAACTCCCGGAGTTTACTCAAACCCATGTCCATCGAGTCAGTGATGCCATCCAGTCATCTCATCTTCTGTCGTCCCCTCCTCCTCCTGCCCCCAATCCCTCCAAGCATCAGGGTCTTTTCCAATGAGTCAGCTCTTTGCATGAGGTGGCCAAAGTATTGGAGTTTCAGCTTCAGCATCAGTCCTTCCAATGAACAACCAGGACTGATCTCCTTTAGGATGGACTGGTTGGATCTCCTTGCAGTCCAAGGGACTCTCAAGAGTCTTCTCCAACACCACGGTTCAAAAGCATCAATTTTTGGGCGCTCAGCTTTCTTCACAGTCCAACTCTCACATCCATACATGACCACTGGAAAAACCATAGCCTTGAGTAGACAGACCTTTGTTGGCAAAGTAATGTCTCTGCTTTTTAATATGCTGTCTAGGTTGGTCATAACTTTCCTTCCAAGGAGTAAGCGTCCTTTAATTTCATGGCTGCAATCACCATCTGCAGTGATTTTGGAGCCCAAGAAAATAAAGTCTGACACTGTTTCTACTGTCTCCCTATCTATTTCCCATGAGGTGATGGGACCAGATGCCATGATCTTAGTTTTCTGAATGTTGAGCTTTAAGCCAACTTTTTCACTCTCCTCTTTCACTTTCATCAAGAGGCTTTTTAGTTCCTCTTCACTCTCTGCCATAAGGGTGGTGTCATCTGCACTATCAGACTTAGTGTGGTGAAAATTTCAAACTGTAGTGTTAACCCACTCTATAAGATTATAGTGTGCTAATTAATAGGCTGTAACACAGTCTCTACTAACTGCCCTTTTATTCATGTGTTACAGGAAGCCATGAATAAAGTGAATTAAATAAATGGAAAAAACATTTTATGCTTACAGTTGTTTGTCTTTTCACATGGGGTAGAACCTGATCTTCATCAGCTCCTGAATAACTTAACGTGGTGTGTGGCATCTGTGGAAGTCTGCCCCGCTAAGGTGGACTTGATAAATCTCACTTTGGTCCGCACTTCACGGCCGGAGCGCTCAGCATTACGGGAGCCAGGGGAGCCTCAGCTGCCGGTTCCGGGTGCTGCCGGGAACCTGCTCCGCTGTGCGTCCCTGGGTGATGTCACAGGACTCAAGCCCCAGAGAGAAAGGAGACAAGCTCTTACCGTCATCATTGCCCTGCCTGATCTCCTCTGCCGTCCGGTCTATCAGCACGTACAAGGACCAGACCACGCAGGTGATGGCAATGACGTGGAAAGTGACCGAGCAGAAGATTTTCCTCCTTTCGCTGGTGGTCATCTGCAGTTTCTCCCACTGCAATCACAAACCAATTACACACAGTTGAGTCTCCAGCCAGGAAATCTTGCTCCCCATTTATATCCCAGGCCTGGGTCATAAATGGGGAGAAAACATTACATAGCTGCCATTTTAGATGACACTAAAATATTCAAACAAGTCTTCATGTTTTAAAAGAACTACAATCATAAACTGTGGAAAGTTTGAAAAGTAACTTGAAAAGTACATAGTAAAACAAAAACAAAAATATTTTCCCATTCTGCAAATAAGTAGTTCCTCGCAGTTTCCTTTTCCGTAACATGAAGGGGACAGTTTTAATATTATACAATTTTCAGAAACATTTTGGCTCAGGTTCCTACATATTACTTCTCTGTGGCCCTAGGTTATAAGCAGTCATACATAGTCTCTCCTTGGATTAATACATACCCTGACACAGTGTTACATTCTCTTTTTTAAATCGGAGTATAGTTGCTTTACAATGTTGTTAGTTTCTGCTGCACAGGGAAGGTTATGTGTATACATAGATCCCTCCCTCTGGGGCCTCTCTCCCCTTCCCTGTCTCCTCCCACCCCCCTAGGTCATCACAGAGCACTGAGTTGAGCTCCCGGTGCTACACAGTAGCTTCCCACCAGCTATTTCACGCAGGCAGTGTATATGTGTCACTTCTGGTCTCCCCATTCACCCCCACCCTCCACCATGTCCAGAGTTCCGTTCTGTACGTCTGTGTCTCTATTCCTGCCCTGCAAATAGGTTCATCTGTACCCTTTGTCTAGATTCCACATGCACCCCAATGTTCATTGCAGCACTATTTACAATAGCCAGGACATGGAAGCAACCTAAATGTCCACAGACAGATGAATGGATAAAGAAGATGTGGTACATCTATACAATGAAATATGACTCAGCTGTACCAAGGAATTAAATTGGGTCATTTGGAGAGACATGGACCTAGAGTCTGTTATACAAAGGGAAGTAAGTCAGAGACAGAAAAACAAATGTCATATATTAATGCACGTGAGTGTTGCATTCTTAAATGTGTAAATTTACCAAGTATTTGAATGGCCGAATTTTATCTGAGAAAGAGTCAATGTGTGTCGCAGCTCTCCTCCGAGAAGACACATTTTATCCTCCAGGCAACAGAAGAAAGTCAGCTGCAGCCCCTTTGGGCGCAGTCTTGCCTTCAGCTGCCAGCACTGTCACAGCCGCCGTGCTCGAGGCACCCTCCTCAGGAAGCCCAGGGCCGTTTCTTACAGCCCCCGTGTAGCAAGAAGGGAGTCAGGGCGTGTGTGAGGAAACGTGTCCATGGCTTACTTTGCAGTAACAGGCTTTCAGGTGAAATTCTTACTATCAAACAACATTTTAATGCCTTGACAATTACAGTACCACTTCATTACATTGTTAAGATTTGATCTTTACTTTTCTTCCCATGTTTCTATAGGAAAATCAAATCATTATGATCTTATTAGATCATGAATGTTTTCGGCAATTCATGATTGTTTGCATTCTTTCTTAAAAAATTGTAGTTGATTTACATTGTTGTGTTAGTTTCAGGTATAAGCAAACTACATGGTAGTTTCCCACTAGCTACTATGTAGCTTCTGCATTACAGGCAGATATATATATATATTATTATATATATTTAATATATATTCTTTTTCAGATTCTCTCCATTATAGGTTATTGCAAGATACTGAGTATAGTTCCCTATGCTATACAGTAAGTCCTTGTTGATTATTTATTGTATATATAGTAGTGTGTATATGTTACTCCCAAACTCCTCATTTATTCCCTCTTCCTCTTTCCTCTTTGGTAACTATGAAATTAATTTCTATGTCTATGAGTCTATTGCTGTTTGTAAATAGGTTCATTTGTATCATATTTTAGATGCCACATATAGTGGTATCATATGGTATTTATCTTTCTCTGACTTCACTTAGTATGATCATTCTAGTTCCATTTGTGTTACTGCAAATGGCCTACTGCACTCTTTTTATGGCTGAGTAATATTCCATGTACACAGAATACTTCCACATATGTATCTATGTGTATATTTATGTCACATCTTTATCCATCCATCTGTGGATGACCATTTACGTTGTTTCCATATCTTGGCTATTGCAAATAGTGCTGCTATGAGTCTCTACATTTTTTATTTATTATGTCCTTGCTAGAGCAGAATCCTTAGACCTTCACAGTCCCACTCCTTGTCCAGCCCACCTCACACATCATAAAGCCCCGTAAAGGCCTGAATCTGCCACCAGCTCTGAGACACGAGTGAGCCTCGACCTCTCCAGGCCCAGCTGTCTCATCCCCCTCAGAGGCAGAGGCGGGTGGTGAGACACGGTCCTCTCCTTTCCTTCACGAACAGACTAAGCCGTGAGGTCTGGCACCGTGCCGGGTAAAGCTGCCTTCCCACCTTCCTGGCAGAGGTGACATGGACTCTTCCCTACGGGTGAGATGTGAGTGGCTATCTACTGGGATGCTGAGTTTTTACCCTCCTGACACAGGAATTGCCCCTTTCTCCTTCATTTTCGTTTCTTTGCTGCCTGGAATTCCCAATTAATGGTAGAAGTCCTAATAGTCATCTTGCAACCTTGAGGGAAAATCTGGAGAAGTAGAGAGACCTCAGCCCACCAGCCACAGCTCACCTCTGGCCGCCATGCATATGTGAGGGAAAGGAAGTCCTGTCTGAGCCGCGGCCTCTCAGGGCCCTGCTCCTCACTGTCAAGGGCAACTCCTGACAGAAGGAAGTGAAACCTCCTGACTTCCCTCCCAGTATGAACGTTAGTGTCATATGACCACACCTTTGTGAGCACATGATCTGTAGCCCGCCAGGCTCCTCTGCCTATGCGATTTTTCAGGCAAGACACTGGAGTGAGTTGCCATTTCCTTCTCCAGGGGAATCTTCCCAACCAGGGACTGAACTGAAGTCTTCCACATTACAGGCAGATTCTTCACCACTCAGCCACCTGGGGAGCTCATTCCTCGCTTACCGGCCAGTTAGTCATCACAGCATTTCCCATTCAGGGTCTGTTAGAGCCGGTTAACCTAATCTTGGACTCCGTCTCATCAAACTATATTTTCTCTATTATTCTAAGTAAGTAACGGAGAAATCTTTGTAATGAAACTAGGGGACAACCAAATGCTTCAATCTATCTATAGAATCTATTTTTAATTAATCAACATTGAAATGAGAAGATTTCAGGGCTTTTTATCACAACTTCCCATCACAGGTGTGAAAGATTGTTTTTGAAATTTCATTGTGTTATTGTATTTATTTATTGTGATATTAGTCTAAATACTGTGTGATTATGGACTAGAACATTATTCATTTGGCAACAGCATTTCGTGATTTAGTAACTATTTCTTAAATTACCTCAGTATTTAATATAAAAAGATAAAAAGTGCAGGATGGTGCACAAGGGCAGCTTTACATGTTCAAATTTCCTAAATGTTCTAAGTGTTACAATACCGTCAGTAACAAAATATTCATAATAAATCAACCCTCCCTTGTAAAGTTGGCTTTGGGGGGGGGGCGGCGGAAAAAGCGCTTAAAAAGTGGGTCTTTTTTTAATCTAAAGACCGTTTTGATGAAGTGGTTGAAACATATTCTTTAAAATTCATCAGCCTCAATAGAAAAATATCAGAGGGCTGACAGGTATAAACCAAACTCCTTTTAGTTCTAGACAATAGTAGTTCTGAAGCTGTCACTTCCCAATCGCAGCAGCGTTTCAAGGAGAAGTGGAGTGTAAAAGGACCATCAGACGTCGCTGTCACACTTTCCTTTATAAACCCTCACAGGGACCGCCCAGGAATCCCCGACAGCACACGGCTAAACGCGATCCCGCGGCGCCCTCTTCCGGACGGTCGCGTCACTGCACGTGGCACCCAGCACGCGGCGCCAACAAAATTTAAACCATTTTATGAAATGTTCATCCATCCACATCTCTGAATTTTCAAGTTTAAAGACTGAATACGTTTTGCAAGCCGCCACAGTGAGAAGTGGATGAAGAAGGCAAGGATATAAATCTTATGTTAACAAACTTGTCATGAAAGGGCAAATACTAATTTCTTATTTAAGAAGCTGAAATTCAATACTAGTTCACAAAAGATTTGACAGCAAAGGACTATATGCACAAATGCACAGAGCATCAGAGCTCCCCTTCCAATTTAATAAAATAATGTGTGCTTCTGCCCACAGGTCCGTGTCCTGTGCGGGACCCACGTCCCCGCCCCAGCCTGGAAGATTAGGAGGCGCCCTCTAGGTGCTGCTCTAAGGAGACGCGTCTCTCCAGGGGGTCTCAGGGGAGCTGCTGGAAGTGACCAGAATCAGGAAGGCGGGAGGGGAGCCCGCATATTCTCTCAAGTGCCCAGGGCTCTTTCCCGGTAAGTCCCTGCCCTCCGCGGTCCATGCACTTTACTTCACCTGCAAAACCAGCTGCACAGTCTTAGCGCCTCAGACCTCGCTTCCCTTTATAGGATCCCTGGGTCTCTGGCACCTGTTTTACTGTCCTTGGCCTTTGGTCCCTTATCCAGAGCCTTCAACGACAGAAAGAATTGAACAGAACTCCTTTATTCAACTTAGAAATACACAATTAGATTATTCTGAAAATATTTCCAAATTGGAGTCTAAATTGATGCAGACACGGTGTCTGTAAAATTCTGTTTGTTTGAGCGAGATGAAACTGAGCGTTTTCTAACTTAAATTACTTGTATTTTCAGCCTGTCCTGATATATAAATTTAAAACAACAACAAAACAACAAACACTGCCTAGTAAGAGTGCTTTTAAAATTTTTGTACCAGTGAAAATAAGGGCAGCTTACTTGTATGATATCAACACACACGAGATGGGTGCTGCTTTACCAAGTCCTTTTTTTTTTCCGTCCTTGACTGAGCTCCACTGCTTTTTTCAAGTTTCCTAAGGGAGCCTCCTCGTTTCCTAAGCTTCCAAGTTTCCTAAGGGAGTTTCCTAAAGGAGCCAGAATCTCAGCGTCTGTGTCATGGTAAAGCAAAAGCC